GAAAACTCTTAACATCCATAAATAATAAAACGGAAAAGAAGTGTATGTGTTTGTCAAGCTCTTTATTTGCCTCAACTACAACATGCCCACCAGTGGCACAGCGGTATGTCTGTGGACTTACAACGCTAGAATCCGGGTTTCGATACCCGTGGTGGGCAGAGCACAGATAGCCCATTGTGTAGCTTTGTGCTTAATTACAAACAAACAAACTACAACATATTAATTTTGAGCATACTTTAACTCGTTTAAAAAACAGAAAAATAAGTGAAATGTAACCAGAAGACTGCTCTTTTATTAACAAACACACTTATTAACTTAATAGTAAAGAGAAGTTCCTGGTTAAGTATGCAGACTTATTAGAAAGATAAAAAGATTCCTCAAACTAGAAGTAATTTAATGAAAGCTGGAACTACAGATGTAACTAGTTTATAGTTATGTGGATTTTGTGATTTAGAAACATACTAAGAACAAATAATATTACTCGTTTCGTTATTTATGGGAAGAAACATTAGAGAGGCGTTAATCTACAACCAGAGTACATAGTGTGTGTATATATATAACCATAGATAAGGGTCTCACTTAACATTTGCATTAAACATTTATTAACTAATCACACAAAACGTATTATAGAACTTTATGATATCAGAAAAAACTGAGCAGTCGAGATACAAGTGTATTCTTGGTAATAAACGTGAAAGAATTTTTGGTTTTTTTATGAGAATTCATATGGAGAAAATGAGAAAAGACACCCCCCTACCCCAAAATGAAGATACTTATCACAGACGCACGTGTAGTTCAAAAGAGGCGAGAATAAAAGCATAACGCAGTGGATCTTAATAAAGTGTCTCACGTCAAATCATATAAAAAAGTTCAGAATGAAACATAATTTCATTTCCTGTAGGTCAGCAGCTATGTCATATCGCAGTCAACAAACGTTAACATAACACCTTTTAAGAGTTGTACTTTCTATCCATCGTTCCTTGTGCCTCATCATAACAGTTTGGAAAAACGCAGGTGTTATATTACAAATCCAATTGCGTACAGCTGCTTTAATAATATTACTTATTTGAAATTGTTGTTCACACAGCTTATTTTCGAGGGGACGAGAAATATGCTAGATCACACCTATGCAGAATGTAGATGCACACTGTTCCTCCGAACTTCTCATTTACAGTCGCTCAGTAAGCCTAGAATTATTATGTTGCAAGAGGATATTTTCTAGCAGCGAACGAATATTGACCTACCAAAATGTGTACTGCATGGTATTTTAACACTTTACCCTACCACGTAATGAAAATTGACAATCTCCCTCTCAGCCATAATATCTGTAGGTATCCCGAAGAAGGATTCAGTAAAGATAAAAAAAAAAAGACTTAATATTAAGCTACTTAGTTTGGCTGATGATTTCTCTACTTTAAATAATTTCCTGAAGAAACATAATAAAATACAAAAGTATTGCAAAACAAAACAGAAGATTCACTGAGATAATTAATGTTTTGACAGAAGTAAAGGATATTTTATTACTGTGTAAAAACTGTAGTTAAATGTAAATACCTTACAGAATTGGTTTTGGTTTTGCCTTTGACAGCCTTTCTTATATATATATAAATACTAACAGTGGTAAATACACATTTAAATTCAAAATCGAATAATGCAAAATTATGACGTCACAACATCACGCTCTTATTCACAGATGATAGAAAAGAGTATTATTCTTTCTGCGTTTCAGAGAATCGCATCACAAATTATGTATGAGCTTGTGTGAAATTAATTCCCATCATCTTATTACCACAAACATAACAAACCGTGTGAAAATACTCCCGTTGACACGAGTCTTCTTCCAAGCTTTTCTGACCCAATATTACAGAAATATTTTCTAAGAGTGGCGTACTTTAATTGGTGATAAGTGACTTTTAAGTTTATCATAAGAAAGGAAGTGTTCGTGGCAATTTACGAGGAAACTTTGTGGTTCACAGAGAAACAAATTTTAAAAGATCTTTAGTATAAGAGCAAGCATGCACTATATAGGTAATGAGTGCATGAATTCTTAACATGCGTTGAGAAAAGATTGTCTCATGGTGAATTTCAGGGCTTATAATGTTAACATTCGTGGTTGGGTCCCCTGGGTGGACACAGTGCAGATAATACAGTGTGTGGGTTAGTGCTAGAACAAATAAACACTCAAAAGATTTGAAACACAAATAGTAAACTAATTTGTTACGAAGTGATATATTCTTTTGTATTTTGCCATTTCAAAAAAACGTGTATTTTAATATATTGTATAGCCTTTTTTTTCCCTGAATTACTTCTATTTTTTTATTTTTTATTTTGCAAATAATGTTTCCCTTAACAGAAAATCATAACAATTCAAGTCACACATAGGAATAGTGAGAAAACTGAGAATAAAACGATAGCTCAGGACTGAAGTTTGAGTAAAATTAGATTTCATAATATTTTATTAAGTGTTATGACATAAACTTCCGATTCTAAGCGCATTTCCATTTCCACTCCTGTAGATAGAAAGGCAAAACCCAGGATATATGTTTATCTTTCTAGACTATTATCTCTTGCCACCAGGTGACTCCGGCATATCTTATACATCCGGGGAAAGAAACCGGGATTGAGAGAAAAATCATCTACACTGTAAACTAAGGAACGGGAGTGGCTTGTGTAACAAAACGGTTCGAGTTTTCCTTGTAGTACTTGATCACGTGGAAAACACAGCTACCTTGAATATAGTGACAGACTAAAGGGTATATATGTTGTATTTCAGAGAAATGGTTCTGTTGATGTGGGATGAATAAACGAAATACTAAATCACATAAGTATACCTTCGAAAGCATTTAGAAAGTTATTATTCTACAAAGCAGCATAATATATCCGTCAACCAATATTTTATATACTTGACCTTAGAACCATTAAGCAACAGTTTGTAATCCTGACCTTAGAACTGTTAACCATTAAGCAACAGTTTGTAATCCTGACCTTAGAACTGTTAAATGAGGAGCGGTTAAAATCATAAGAATACGCGCATTTGTAAATTAACAAAAGTTGGGTTTTCAAAATTTGATGATTCTAGTAATGTTGGACTATATAATTCACGTTATTCTATTGACTATTGTAATTCCAGATTCTGTAGAATTATGTACAATGTATTATAACACACAAAATGTTGAAGGAAAAAATTTTTTTCTTGTAAGTATACGCTAAATACATTTTGATGCAACTTTGAAGCATACAAACATTTAGAAATATAGTATCTTCAACTTATGCACTATGTGTTGTTTGAGATCACAAACATATTTGCAAGGTTATGGTAATTGATTTCTTGTGTGGTATGATCATCAAATTTTATTCGATATAAAAGAACATGATAATCATCATCAATTTTGGTTCGATATTTATACAGTTACAAATAAATATGATAACAACCAGCAGTTGTCATAGCCTAGTTGTATGTGCAAGATTGCAGTCATAACCAGCAGTTCTGGTTCGATATTTATACAGTTACAAATAAATATGATAACAACCAGCAGTTGTCATAGCCTAGTTGTATGTGCAAGATTGCAGTCATAACCAGCAGTTCTGGTTCGATATTTATACAGTTACAAATAAGCGTGATAATAACCAGCAGTTGTTATGTACAAGGTCGCAGTCATGAGTTTCAGTTTCTGTTCAGTATCACATCAATGCAGTTATAAGTGAACAATATAATACCCAGCAATCTCATATCATGTTTTTGTATGAAAGGGTGTGGTCATGGCCGCCAACTGTTTGTATAGATAAAGCCATGTGAGGATAACCAAGACTATTACTGTCTTTATCTGTAGTCACATGACAAGCCCTCTTAATTTTGAAAGAGCTCTAATGTAGAGGTTTTCAGACAGGTTTCTACAGTACATCAACAACTCACGTACTATTTACTGATATTTCCTTTCAATAAAGATAACATTGATGAACCGAATTTGTGCATTTTACGATAAGAACATGGAGAAGGGCAGTGTAAGTTAAACGTATAGAATTAAGTTGTTATTTTATGTTTGTTATTTTGTTGAGTCAAGTAACGGTATAATTGTAGGATCAACAAGTAATACAGTGAGTGGAATGGCATCAAATTTTATTTTAACTGAGGGGGTTGTCAAGAGAAGCACTTGAATAGCACGTTATAGCACAATATGACTGGGAAAAACATTAGTACATTATAAATCGGAGATAGAATAAAAAATACCCTATTTTTCAGAGTTTCTGATCAAAGGTAAGCTAACTATATAGCTGGTGACATCAGTTATTCAAGGATATGTTGGAAAATTCAAGCCAAATATTTAAAATATAGTACAGAATATTTTACTGCGAGAATGTAACTAATACGCTCACGAAAACAGAGCACTCGAAAAATACATACTTTGTAGTTTAAAAAAGAAGACGCTATTACAGCAAAATAAGCATAACAACCAGTAGATGCATACGTAAGTAACAGTATATATCCTCTCATACGATCGTCATAACTAACGTTACACATTACACACTTAGGTATATTTATACAATAATCGCAGTATTTTCTTAAAAACTTTAGTTTTCCCTCAAAACAAAACTGGGTAGTATGCATCATACAATCCTCTCCCAAAAATACACGTGCACGTTGTTTGCATACATTCAAAAAAAAAAATCAGGCAGTAATGTTGATATCATGACTAGCTTGGGAACGAAAGCGACACTGAATATACACACATTTCTGAGTGCCGTTTGTTTTAATTACCGTATGGAAGAACAAACTTTAAAAACCATATTATCAAACTACAACAACAAAAAGCTTTAAAAGCTTGGTTGTTTTCTTCCATATTAAAGTAAATCACAGAACATCAGATGATTTCAACAGATAAGACGCAGTTTCTCTTTTTACTGCACCAATCCTTTACTCGCACGAAAAAAGTAATCCATTAGGTCAGATCTTGTTTTTTAAATCAGATATATGAGAAACTGTCCACTAGTGTTCTCCTTACCTTTGAGGAAAATCTCTGGTTGAAACCAACTTCTCTTCCACTCAAGACGCTGCTGTATGTGGCCGTTTTACTCCTCTTCGTGACTCTCCTACCGCGAGCAGTACCCGTACACCCCTCCACCCACCACAGCCCACAGAAAACAGGACGAACTCCACCCCATGCGCGTGTCATGAGGAACGACTGACGTCAATACTAGCCACGTGACATCTGAGGGGAAGGGGGAGACGAGGGGGTGGGTCGACTCCTGGCGATAGTCTGTCTACAAAGGGGGTGGTGGCGCAACGGGAGGCAGTGGGCGATGTGCATGCGGAAATGGCACGGGGACACACGCACGCGCTTTCCGCCCCAGTTGCCTAGACTACGATTCTAATCTCTTCTTGGTTTACTATAGTAAGGTGAAGTTATAAAAGTAATCAAAGGGTTAAAAGCTTTCGTTACAGTACAATAAAGAAATCCACCGCAGCTTAGAAAAATAGATCTAAACATTTGTTCAGAACTTTGACAAGTAGCAGTCTGATAGTGTATATGTGGGGTGTGTGTAGGTGTCTACGCCCAAACGTACACCTACGGTGGGAGGGGGTATAAGCTAGACAGTGGTATTCCCCTTTATTTTACCAAATGGCACAGATACGCCTAAAACCATGCACACTCAACCCAAGTTTAGGCGTTATCAGAAATCAGACCTCTTCTTAGACACGTATGCTATGATGTGTTATATATAATTCACTTTATGCACTCATTTATAAAGCGTCTTTTTTCCTCCTGTGGAACAACTGATAAGCTCCAGCGAACAAAAGAGGAAGGTCTAACCAGTTTTGTTTCTGTTTTACATCGTCATTCCTCTAAAAGATGTTATTTGCTACAAAGATTCTACAACCAAAAGCCTACTCAGAAGATTCAAAGGTATATTTCAGCATTTGTTTTTACAAAATTTAGCTTTCAAATATAAGTGTTAAGCACTATGGACAAAGACAATTAAAAGAAAAGAGTGGATAAATTAAACGTCCTGCGTAGTTGCAGATAAACAACATAGATAACAACATTAATAATAATTGCAAGCACATAGCAAACAAAAAACTAAAAGAACAGAGGGAAATTAGTGGCTGTTTGAATAAACCAACATAAAGTTACAGAGAACAATATACACGGGTATACTTTATTAGAAAAAAAAGCGATGATCAGGGAGGGACAAGAGACAAATGGATATAAATATTCACGTTGTTGTTTGAGCACAAAGCTGTACAATGGGTTATCTGCGTTGTGTCTATCGTGGGGAATCGAACCCAGAACTTTAATGTTGTAAGTCCATAAACGTACGACTGACCCACCTGGGGATATATATTTTTTATGCATAATACACACGACTCAATGAAAAATATACGTGCAGTTAACTTATAGCTTATGAATAATTCATGCAAATATAAACAGTACCAAAGATGCCTTTGACCTGTAAAAATATACCAAATTAAGATCGTTTTCAATCAATCGAGTTAGGACTTGAAATGTGAACGTCCCACCTTACATTTAGAAAGAAAGGTTTGGTTTGCTTTGAATTTCGCGCAAAGCGACACGAGGGTTATCTGTACAAGCCGTCCTTAATTTAGTATGAAATAATAGAGAGAAGGCAGCTAGTCATCACCACCCACCGCCAACTCTTGAGCTACTCTTTTTACCAACAAATAGTGGGATTGACCATCACATTATAACGCCCTGGCCCCACTGCTGAAAGGGCGAGCATGTTTGGTGGAACGGGGATTCGAACCCGCGACCCTCAGATTGTGAGTCAAGCGCCCTAACCATGAGAGAAAGGGGAGTAAATAATAAAGATTTATCATATGATATGCAGACGTTTATATATATAAAAATTTTAATTTAAACACTCGCGCATTATACTCATTTGGGCGAATGAATGAATTGGAACACACACACACACACTTATTTTTGAATATATGTTTATATAATTTGGATAGCAAAACCATAGATATATCAAAGTAAAACAAAAGAATAACAAGAAAAACAAAACTCTTAAAAAAGGTTTGCGAAAAATAGTTGTCTCGAAAATACTGAAACATAAACAAATATAAAAACCTGCCAGTATAAAAACAAACATTCCGCTCAGATACGTAATACTGCGGAAAAAATATAAAATTTTCAAGGACCGGTATGTTACGTCATAGTTGACATAATGACGTCACTTCTGGTACGTATATCATTTGTTAAATGTTTTTGTAAGTATTCCGAAAATATGCCTCCTAATGGGTCAGCGGTACGTTTACGGATTTAAACCACTAAAATCCGAAGTTCGATTTCCCGCGGCGGATGCAGTAGATAGTTTACTGTAGCTTTATGCTAAAACAAACAAAATTTCTAATTTTAGTGTGAAATGATTTCTATGTGGATTACTTCACTTTCAACTGTCATTATGAAAAGTTTTAGGTTTTTGAATATGCCATTAATCAACTATCACGAATAGAGGTAAAATCAATAGCGTGTTATTGTTTGACGTATTTCAACATCCAGAAACTGATCTCAAATACACTACCACAAACGACACTGCTTAGTGGAAAATGTGTTATTATAAACATTTTAAAGTCAGCATATCTAAGACCTGTGGATGGGAGAGACTATAATCTTTTATTTGCACAAGTTGCACTGTAAAGTTATGTTGAAAACAGTTACTTGGAAAAAAAAATCCATTAGTTTCTCGTCATTTCTTCAATAACGCCGATAAAGAAAGTAATAAGCAACCCGGTGTTGTTTACGAATTAGTCAGGAATTGTACATGGTGTAAGACATCCTATTCTTTACCCCTTTAACATAACAGAGGAAATATATATATTAATAATTTCCTAAATTTGACATTCAAAATTACTTTTTTTTCTTTTTTGTTTTGATTCTTGTGAGTAGATATACTAATTACTAATTATAATCTGATACCCCAAAAATTAGAAATTATACACTGCAAGAAATAGTGTAGGGGTGATTTCAGAATTGGCCACAATTGAATAACAAACACCAGCTTCTGTGAGCTCAAAAGATTGGCGTGACATCTAGTGAACACTCATAAAAGTCTCGAAATTGAAGTGGTGTTTGGACATAAAGTAACACAGAAAGTTAGGCTCAGTGAGATGAAACTTAATATAAACAACACTACAAAAAATAAGAAGAAGAACAATATTTCGAAAAATGACTCACATTCAAGCATAATGTAAGCTTAAACAAAATTTAGAAAATATAACTCACATTCAAGCATAATGTAAGTTTCATTATTAGTCACAAGAAGTAAGCCGAGAAAATGAAAGCATAATTTGAAACTGATAAAAGAAATTATAAGACTTTTTATTATTTTCATCGTAAAATCACTGAATGATTAACAAAGTTTGAGTAATCGAGTACATCGTAACCAATCGTTAAATTTCTATATTACAGGAACAAGTAGTCTCTAACACATCATTTTCTTGAAACGGTTCTGCAGTGACTACTTTTTATACCACTATCAACACCTTTAGTCGCCACATACACATATATACATTTTAAGCGGAAAATCGATAAGGCCTAAGCTTAGATCCCTAACAAATCATAGTTTGTGACCAATTACATGCTAATACAATGTAATCGTTCAGTTAGAAAGTCCGCAATGAACGAGTGAATTAATTAGGGCAAGGTCGGATTTAAAAAAATGGTACCTTGCGCGCGACACTAAAAGAAAATCCGCGATCAAAATTACTAGTAGTAAACTTAAATCGCTTATCACATCAACAAAATATTCGATGACGAGGAACCCACTTTGAGACTAATAATGCTTGTAAACTACTTGTACCTGATGATGACAAAACCTTGCAGAAACGTTGTACATTTGCTGTTATGTTAAAGGTTTTCTTCATTACCCATTCAAGCCGTCTCCAAGCATTATCAACAAAGTATGTTTACCAGTCCAACGACGTATAACACGAAGCTTAAAATAATCAATCGAATTTAAAATAGCTTTGTTTCGCTTCGAATGAAGGTAAACTCAGATACATAATAACAATAGTACAGTAGTGGACGATTTACGGCTAGCAGATGACGAATGATAATAAAATTAGCGCGCGCACAGTTTGCTAGGTTTTATGGAAATTGCAGCTTTTTGTTGAGGTTTCGACTTTCTTATAAGAAAATGAATTTAACGTAGTCATTGTCACAAAATTTTGTTTGATACTTTGAATTTAACCGTTTTAAGATATATGAATTCAAAATGGTGAATATGAAAATATAAATCTTTGTAAGACCTCGGCAATTTGGAGCTGGCTGTCAAAATAAGAAGTTGCAAACCAAAAACCAAAATCGCTGCCATTAAACGCTTAGCCAAGAGCAGTGTTATAGTGAAAGAAGCGAAGTCGGCTGACCTAAACAGCCTACTTCAGGATTGGCGAAAAGGCGCCTTCAATCGAGGAAACATTATAATATACTTACCAGAGATGAAATCCAACACAAAACCATTCATAATCAGAGGCATACACTACAACATTCAGATACAACAAATACAGGAGCAACTAACACAAACATCACATTCACAAAAGTTGAAAGAATCACATCAATCAGAATACACACACACACACACAAACACAAACATTATCAAAGTACTTACAGTCAACACACAAAATATCCAGAGGCTAATATCAAATGGTATTATACTCTGGTATCAGAGATCCCAGGTAGAAGAAACTAAAACACACGCCGTAGTTGTGACGCAATGTTAGAATTGCCAAATCTACGAACATGTGGATACAGCCTGTAAATCTCTCTCACGTTGTGTGGGTTGTGGTAGTGATCATCACATTACATTCTGTTCGAAGGAACACGAAAACCCTCTTTGTTCTAACTATAAACATCAGTATACAGCCAGCCATAAAGGCTGTCAAAAGTCTAAAGAAATAAAAACTAGAATCTACAACATAAATCACAACATAACAGGAACTACCTCACAACACACAGAAACGAGCCAAACACAACAAATCAGCATTAAAACGCCACTTTTTCCAACACCAACTATACAACCAACAACCACACAAACAAAAACATATGCGGCAGCAGTACGAAATCAACCACACAATAAACACACACGTATTTCAAACAAACAATCACAGTCACAAACCAAACCAAAAAAATTAGATAAAC